AAATGAAAAAAATACTTTATGTATACAAAGAAGGAAAGTTTAAAATAAAACTAAAATGGAAGGGAGTGTGAGTGTCGATGGGTGTTCTCGTTAGATGAACAAGAGATACGCACACCCGCTCCATCTATTTTATTGAAATGAAATCTTGATACGAATAATTCTAATTGAATAATATTTTCACCATCAATCTTTGTCAGCTAACAAAACAAATAGAACCAGTTTCTCTTGTTCTTTACCATTAATGTAGCATTTAATCGATCTGCTTCAATTGAAGTACCGTACTTTGTTCATTCACCGAAAATCCATATTCAATATACCTGACAATATTTGAGTAATGTTTTAGAGTTTGAAAATGTTGAATACATTATTTTGTTTCCAATTTATCCAACAAATAAAACTTTCTCTCTTTCCATCTGCTCGTATTTCTGCCGTTTTGTTTTATTGTGATATGTAGTCCTATATCCTTTTCTATTTATTATGCCTCTTTTTTTCTGTTGTATTTGCCCTTTAATGTTCATTTTTTCTCATTGTTTTTCCATTTACATCACAGCTTCCTGTTTTGATTCTTTTTTCTGCCTGTGTGAACGTTCACAGTTATAGCCCGTCACATAATGAATATTCTACAGCGATAAGAACAGAAATATCTCACCATCGTTAGTTTCAATATCGCTAAACATTTTTTATGTTAACGAGAAAAAGTAGGCGTTCTATCATTGATAATTTTGTGTTTCTCTGAATGTGAACAGAAGAAAAATGACAGCTGTTGTCAGATTTATACATTTATGCGCATGATATACATTACGGAGATAAACGAGAGAGAAAAACTAGATATATATACGTCATGCATTCATATTATTTTAGCCATTGTGTTACACACTCGACTCTAGATTAAAGGAGAAAAAAGTGCTTATTTTGTCATGTAAGAATACTCGAGATGTGATTAGAGAGATTTCCAAGTTATTTAAATTGTATTTTTACTCTTTCTAACAATAGTATCTGTTCGATCTTATTCTCTATCATCTTTAGTTTTTTATTTGTGTAACTCTTCATACATATTCAGTTCAATTGAATTCTTTAATGTATAGAAGAACACCAGAAGATACGGTAAGTTTATGTTTAATATCTACTTTGTAATAGAGAGTAATAGATAATTATGGAAGTTAAATGATTTACGTAAGTAGACCATCGAACCATCATAGTATGAATCAGGCCACTTTTTGATGGCCCGGCCCGACAGTAGCTACAAATTTTTTTTAATTATATATATAAAGCAGTTCATAAGAAATTCTGTTATATTGCGACTGGAAGAGGTATATGAACGGTATGAAATATGTGATTCACCAAGCTCTGATGATTTATTTTATTAAATGAGATATTCGATAACAAAAAAATTAAAAATAAATACGATACATATTGATAGCTTAATATCAATATGGAGTTGGGCGGCCCAACTAAAACCCGGCCCGTCCGATTCATTGGTCTGATTTGATGAGACCCGAACGATCGGGCACTCTAACCTGGCCCGGGCCATTGGGCTGGGCGGCCCATTTCGGGGCCTGGTATGAATACATGTCAATGAGCAAGTGCAGATGCGTTACTTGCTGGGAACCGAAACGTTCAGCACCGGAATTTTCAGCACGGATTTTTCAGCACGGAATGTTCAGCACCCGAATGTTCA